CGCGGGGCTGACTCAGCGTTTGGTCTCCGCCGGTCCGGCTCCGCCGTCTCTACACCGCGCTGCTGAACTTCACGTCGGACTGCTCGGTGCTCTCCGGGATGACCGCCTTCAGGGCAGCGTGGCAGAAGCGGTTCAGGGCCGACACGCTGGTTTTCTGCTCGATGTACAGCCTCAGTTTGTCCCTGAAGGTCTCCCCCAGGAAGCTGTAGATGAGGGGGTTCAGGCAGCTGTTGGAGAAAGCCGCGAGGTTGACAATGTGGCCGGTCAGGGGGTAGGCGTGGCGGAAAGACTGCTGGCAGGGAGCGGCTCCCGGCTGCGTGCGCTGCAGCAGGTGAACGCTGATGAACACGTTCTCGGGCAGCCAGCAGATGAAGAAGACGAGGACCACGGCGAAGATCATGCGGAGGGCTTTCTGCCTCCGGGGGCGCAGGCCTCGGTGCCTGTGAGCCTTGACGAGAACCCGGACGATGAGCGAGTAGCACAGGCCGATGATGGCGAAGGGGATGATGAAGCCCAGGGTGACCTCGAGCCACTGGATCTCCTTGACGTCCGCGAAGCAGAAGCAGACCTCCTCCGTGTGCTGCAGGTGCACCGCGGTGAAGGGCACCAGCGTGGCGGAGACGGAGGCCATCCAGATGAGGCCGCAGCTCAGCCTGGCGTGGTGCTTGGTGCGGAACGGGCCGGAGCGCATGGCCTTGGCCAGGGCGAGGTACCGGTCGAAGCTCATCCACGTGAGGAAGAAGATGCTGCTGTACATGTTGATCTGCAGGAAGAGGGACATGAAGGTACACAGCACGGCGATGTCGTAGTACTGCTCGTCCAGGTTGAACACCTCGATCAGGGAGTCGGCCACCAGGATGAGGTCGGCCGCCGCCAGGTTGATGAAGTACAAGTCGGGGATGGTCATCTTCTCCCGGAAGCTGATGTTCACCACCAGTATCAGGATGTTCCCCACGAAGCCGATGGGGAAGAGGAAGATGGTGTACAGGCAGGACAGGAAAAGCCCGATCACGTATTGCTGGTGCTCGGAGAGCTCGCCCGTCTGGTTTGCCAGGACGCTGCCGGGGAGCGTGCGGGACAGGTTGAGCTCCGGGGAGGTGCCGTTGTAAGCGGCCGCGTGCGTCTCCATGCCAGAGACGGGCGCTGGGGGCGTCTCGTCCGTGTCCCCGGGGGCACAGCTGTCAGGGTCTGCCGCACGGCTCACAGAAACCCGACGTGAACAGTCAGTCCGTCTCCGGAAAGACAGGCGAAGCTCTGTGAAGTGAGCCAGGCGTTTGTAAAATCCGAACTCCTCCTGGGCAGCACTGGAGGCGGCGCGGGTCTGTTCCGCGGGCAGCCGGGCAGCCGGAAAAGGCCCTCCATGTCCACACCACGGGCGGCGCCTCGCCTGGGCCCCTGGGGGGCGGCGGCCGCTGCGGTCAGGCCCGCCGGGTGGCGCTCACCACCCGCACACCTGAGAGAAAGAGACAGAAGAGCGGTGAGTCTGTGACTCGAGTCTTCACGGCTCTCCGCCAGGACGGACGCCGTGGTGGCGGGTGGCCCGGGGGGACGGGTGGGGTGGGACGTGAGGTCTTGGCGTCTCGGAGATTTGGTTGTCACTGAGCTGAGGGAGAGGAGTTAAGTGCAAAAAGTGCCCCATTTTCTGTCCCCAGGGCTCCCGGGCCGCTCAGTCCGAACCGGAGCCTGGGCGGTGAGTCATGCTAAAGCGCGGTGGACGCCTTTCTTAAAAATAGCCGAATAGCAGGCTTATGAAGTAACGCGGCCGTTGGGTCTGGAACTCTCAGGAAAAGTACTATCTGCCAGCAGAGGAAATCAAATTTATTTCGGCAGCTGTTGGAAGGAGGACCAAGATGGGAAGGGAAAAACCCAGCGTCTGTGAAGACGGCAGGCCCGGGGTGCTTGGAGGAAGCTGGAGCAGAGTCTCTCACGACGCGACAGAAAACAGATCTAGGTTTTCCTGCTCCCCACACTCGGGTGCCCCCACATGGAACTTTCTTCGTGATATGACCCGAAGGACCGAAAACAGTCCTTGGTTTAGGAAATAGTGTTCACTCGGCATTTTGATAAATAAACTACCTGAAACAGCGAGTACGTTTCTGCAGTGATGTCTGTAACCTAGAAACTGCGTTAAAAAAGCCTCAGCCGCCCACAGGTCTCGTGTCCGAGGCCGCCCACCGCGACCCGGCTCGGCCCGAGAGTCGGGGGGAAGGGAGGGGAGTGCTGTCGGCGGCCGTGTCTGGGCCGCCACCGCTGGGGGTGCTCCCGGCCTCCCGGGGCCGGGGGCCCCCACAGAGGCCGAGGAAGCCGGCCCTGGCGCGTTAAAACGGCCTTGAGTTGTCTTTCTCCAGAGGGTTTTTGTTTGACCCTGTGAGACGGTCGGGGATCACTTTCGAAGTGTCGCCCAACCAGACTAGACGCTCACTGAACCCCTGCTCAGAAGTCTTGCTCCAAAGGAAACCCCGAAAAGCAGAGCAGAGAAAGACCAGTCTCGGCCTTCAGGTCAGATAGTGATCGAGAAGCGTTCGGCAAGCTTTGCGCGGCGGGCGTGGAGACGTCTGTGCTCTGTGTTGTGTCGTGTGTAGCAGATAATGCCAGCGTGGACCTCATGAATGTCTAGCGTTTAAAGCCTCTCTCGGTAACTTGTCTGTAAGGAGCACGCAGAGAGCTTGTTTGGCTCTCTAAGCACGGAAACCTGGGCCGCTTCCGACTGTCTTCAGAGGAAGACACAGTGAGGGGCCCTCGG